AGAAATAAGTTATACATAAGGAATGGGAGAGAGCTAAAATTCTGTGACGTCAGATGGGAGTTGGAGATATCAGTATGAACTCATAGTTTCTTCATAGATAGGTGTGTGTATGCACGTGAGTATACACACATATATCTCCTAGCCTTGTCTCCCGGGAGGGCCTAGAAACAATGGCACTCCCATAGCAATGTACACATCTAGCCCCAACATCTTGGTTTCTAAATACCCTCTTCCAATAAAAAGAATCAAGGCTCCTTGGAGAAGTGATTGATTGATTCCAGGGCTACAGGAAGGAAAATACACGATGAGTCTGGGGATTAGAAAATTAAGATAGTGAGACACCTGAGTGACACAGCTGGTTGAGGGTCTGACTCTTAGTTTCTGTTCAGGTTGTGATCTCAGGCTTGTGAGATATAGCCCTGCACTGGGCTCCACGTTCGGCACGGAGCCTGCTTAGGATTCCCTCTCCCTCTCCTTGTGCCCCTTCTCCCATGTGTGCACCCATTCACTTGCTTGCACTCTTTCCCTCTCCCTCTAAAGTGAATAAATAAATCCTATTTAAAAAAAGAAGAAGAAGAAAGTTAAGATAGTGCTCAAAAAAGAATGGACACAGAAATCAACCTGAAGGAGTTCCCAATGGCCAAAATTAGAATAATTTGAACAATAAAAATAATGATGGTTTTGGATTATAACCCATAGAATAATATAAATATCCATGAGTTCATACTGATAAAAACAATTAAATAAACAACTGAAGGAGAAGGGACAGCTCTTCCTTACATGAAAATTCCAGTTAACAAATACAGAAATAAGGAAAATAGAAAATCGTTAACTTGTTCATTAAAATGATAAGGAGTCATTGAGGTAAAACTTGTGCCCCTGGATCTCCTCTCTGGCTGCATTAAATAATCCCCAATGTTTATTTAAACAAAGCTGCTCCTCTCTGTTCTACAAATTCAGCTGGGGCAAAGGCCACTGCCACCACTTTACAGATAGGATAGTACGGGTGTTTGGTGGTAGACCAGAAGCCTGGCAGACCAAAACCCTACAAGTCAACTCAGCACCATGCAAACCTCTCGTCACCCTGTTTAGGCCTTGGAATTTCTCGATTTCATTTCTTTCCTTAAATTACTAGACCTTCTGTGATTTATCAAAACCTTAACTGAGCTTCAAGATCCAGCATGCTTCTCTAATGGTCCCCAGTGTATCAGGATTCATTTGATTGCAAGTAACAGAAAACTGATCTCAAATCATCTGAAGCAAAAGGAGAATTTCCTGGTACATATAACTGGAAAGTCCACTGGGGCTTTAGGCTCAGCAAGATCTAGGGACTCAAATGACACTTCTCTCTACAATACTCCGTTCACAGACAGGCTTTCCCTTCATGGTGGCAAGATGGCTGCCAGCAGCTTTTAAGTCAATACCCTTTACTGGCAGCTAATGCAGCAGAAAAGGCAGTGTCCTATGCAGGACACCCCCAAAAGTCCTAATCAACACTGGCTCAAGTGCCCATCCCTGAATCAATCTCTAGGGCCAGAGGAATGAACTCCATCAATAGCCTAAGTCATGTGCCCACTCTTGGAGCTGAGGGTTGGGGTGAGCCTCCCTCAAACCCCGGGATGAGTACATAAGATATGGGTGAATCCCCAAAGGAAGTTTTAGATGCTACTACCCAAAACGTGAGCGGCTCTTGAGCTGAAAAATTAACATATGTCTACAATACCAGAATCCCTTGGTCAGAATCATCTTAGCCCTGCCTCCTCCAGCCCCATCCGGACATCTGTACCGGCCGTGACTTCCTCCTGCCTTGTGCACAGGCTGGTCCTCACCTGTTGCCTCTGGTTATAAGCATCCTGGACACCCAGAGTCTGGTTCTTCAAAGTACTGGGGCCTCAGCACACCCCCTCAGCTGCCCAGCAAAGTGCCACTGAGCCCCCAGAAAACACTCCTTGGCTTTGCTTCCCATCCCCCGCAACGTGAAGCTGAGTCACTGAGACACCAGGCGGCTGAGCACCAACCTTGAAAGTACTTCTCTAAGTCACTGTCTGTTGCTCTAGCATACTCCGGGACCAGGGGATGCTGGCTTGACAGTGAAATAATTATGTTTTACCCTTCTCTCATTCCTTTATCAGTCACGAAGACAAGAAGAGATAAGTGTTCCAACGGAAGAACACACTCCTGCAGTATTTGCTCCTGCTTTTCAGTGCCAGCGAGATCCCCTTCCCAGGCACAAGTCCCGGGGACCAGCCTCCAGCCCTATTATCTGTGTCAGCTACCCTCCTGTCAAAAAGCAGCCTGCATTTTCCTTCCTGCATCCTCCAATGCCGTCAACTTCCCCGGGGGGTTGGTGGTGCCTTACACGTGAGGGCCACTGCCTGCATGTCACCCATCCCCTGTCTGCTCTGCAGGGAGCTTGCCTCCCTGCCCAGCCTGCGCCTCTGTGCAGAATGTCACTCTGGTTGGCTCTAAGGCCTGCAGCACTGGTTAGATGGAGAAGAGGTGCGGGGAACAGCAGGGTGGGCACCGAGTCTCAGAGCCCAGGCTGTGAGATCTTCCGACACAAACTAACATTTCATCCATTCATTAGCTCAGCAAACCTTTATTCAGGACCTACTGTGTCCTGGGTACTGCTGTAGTTGCTGTAGACACAGAGACAAGTGTCTGTCCTCACGGAGCATCCTTCTTGCTAGACATCGGACTGATTTTGTTTGTAAAGATTTTATTTATTTATTTGGCAGGGAGGGAGAGTACAAGCAGGGGAAGCAGCAGACAGAGGGGGAGGGAGAAGCAGGCCTCCCACTAATCAAGGAGCCCAACTGGGGACTCGATCCCAAGACTCTGGGATCATGACCTGAGCAGAAGGCAGACACTTAACTGACTGAGCCACCCAGGCGCCCCAACATCTGACTGATTCCTGATACCTGCTTCACACTCACACTTCACAACACACAGTCTCAGATATTATCTATATAATCCCCAACATGTGGCAGAGACAACTGTAGTCTACAGACGAGGAGAATGGTAGCTCCAAAGGCTAAATGACCATCCCAAAGACAAAGCACAAATTCAGGTTTTTGGTGTGCAAACCTTGCACTCTTTCCAGGTCCCCTCCCAAGGAAGGACCTAGCCAGGTGCAACCTGAAACAGACATTAAGTCAACTCAGTCCTAGGCATCATCACTAGAGGCAGAAAATACAAAAGAGATGACCCCATCCCTGACCTAAAAGAATCTATAATGTAAAGTGAAAGGAAGACGTGTAAGCAGGTATCATCTGTGGTAGGAATAAAGAAGTCTGACTACATTCCAGTGAGAAGACGTCTCCAGAAGGACATATAGGACACGCTGATCACTTCCAGGCTGGAATTAGGGAGCCTGAGGCACAAGGACAGGAGGATCATTCTGCATGTCCAAATGTGACATACTTCGAGTTGCGTGCCATGTGGATCTACTTCCCATTAAATGATGCTTTGAGGATGCGATTGGCCTCATTCTACAGGGTAAATGATCTGCTTTCTTCAACAAGAAAATAGCTCCAAAAATAGGAGGGAAGGGAAATACTATAGATTTAAGAAGATTTTGGTTGATGTTTCCTAATGCAATACATGCTCCTCGTTTGGGTCCAGAACGTAATGCACCAACTTGAAAAAGACATTTTTTGGATTAGGGATATTTGAGTATAAACTAGCTATTAGAAGTTATTAAGGAAATATTGTTAATTTTGTTAGTTATAATGATGGTATGGAAATTTTTTTTGTTTTTTGGGGGTTCTGTTTTTAGATTATGTTTATTTATTTGATAAAGAGAGACACGAGAGAGGGAACACGAGATGCAAGAGGGGAGTGGGAGAGGGAGAAGCAGGCTTCCCGCCAGGCAGGGACCCTGATGCGGGGCTCAATCCCAGGATCCTGGGATCATAACCTGAGCTGAAGGCAGACACTTAACAACTGAGCCACCAGGAGCCCTTGGAAGTTTTTTTAAGGTACTTCTTTATTAGAGATACAGACTGAAGCATTTACAGATAAAATAATATGATGCCTGAAGTTTGCTTTTAAATATTTGAGCAAAAATAAATAAATGAATTAAAAATACATGAATGAATAAAGGGGCAAATGGATAATACAAGACTGACAAAATGTTGATCATGTCTGAAGCCGGATGACAATTCCATAAGGGTTCATTATACATTTCTCTCTACCCTTGTTAATGGTTGAAATTTCTATAATGAAAAGTTTAAATAAAAATTTTAAAATTAATTATCCCATCCACCAAGAATGATTGAGAAGGAAAACATCACAGAGGAGAGGTATTTGAGCTGAGGCCAAAAGGATGACTAGAAATTTTCTAAGGGGCCAAGGGCATTCCAGGCTGAGCAAAGATATACAGATCTATCCCAAACCTCTCCTTGGAGGAAAGAAAAGTATCTACACTTGACCCCAAATTCAACTTATATCCAAAAAAAGACACCATCTTGCTTGATGCCCCAACTCATCTAGCTGTAGCATCAAAATCAACCAACCTATTCCAAGCGAGGAAAGAGGGTGCGGGGTGGATGGCTCCCCTCAGAGGCCTAGCAAGGAGCCCCAGTGTAGCCTTGAGAGGACAGGAAAGCAATTAACCTCTTTCAGTTGGGTTTTGCCTGATTTGGAAGCCAACTGAGTTATCTCAGGAATAGAGCCTTCATCCCTCCTGAGTCATCCCAGACACCTTGTGCTCCCCAGAAACACACACCAGCCTTCCCGACAGTGCCTTGTCAATTAATGATCTCAGTACCATGGGATCCAGCTTGATGGCAGCTGAGCAGCCTAGCCCGTCAGCACAAAAACAACTCCAGTGAGGAGACGGTCCTCCCCTCCTTGCTCCCAAGCCCCCGTTGCCAATCCCCTCACAGCCCCCTGCCGACCCCCAGGTGCATGCAAGACGCTTGCTAGCTCTGCAGCTAAGCTACTTTAGGACTTACCCGGTCCTAGCCTGGCTCAGATGGGTCCCCCGGGCTCCTTACCTTGGATCGAAGCTGCAAGTACTCCTCGGAACCATAGGGGACACTCCTTAGGGAGGTGAGATAGTCGTAACTGATGACAGCTGTCTGTGAACCAAGGACAAGAAAGGCTTAGCGCCTGGGGCATCAAATATTGCTCCTCGCCAACCCACCCCTCCGATATCCTGCAGCTGCACACCCCTGACACAGGCAGTATGTCTAGAGAAGTAGACAACCCCTCCCCTAAGATGCTCCGCCCCCCAGATCTTACCCTGGCTGCCTTCTTCCTGACAATCAGGGCTCTGCACAAATGTCCCCTCTGCAGAGAGCCCAGTCTAAGGTTGCCCCACCTGCCAGCAACTCTCAATTACTTATCATAATGACATTATCATACCCAAAATTACCTTGCTCATTTTTTTCCTTGTATATGGACTATCCTCTCTGCTAGAATTTCAGCTCTATAAACATGGACCCTTGTCCTTCCCGTTCATCACTGTATCCCCAGCACCATCTTATTGTTCCAGACACAATGGTAAATGCTCAGTAAAGGCGAGCTGAATGAACGCTGTTGGATAAACTTAGCATCATAAATAAACATCGTTTTATATTTATGTTGCACTGAAAGCCTGAGTTTTGATTCTGGGACCCTTGGCCAAAAGTCCTGAAGAAGTCCCCATATCCACATCCCCATATCCATATCCCACGTCCTGAATCAGAGAATCACAGGTTTCCAGATATCACAGACATGGAGGAAGCTGGAGGCCTACCCAGGCCAAACATTTCCTTCTAGAACTGAGCAACTGAGGTCCCTAGAAGCTAAGGGACTTACAAGGTTGTTACCGAGAAAAGTCTATCCCCTTGTTTACACCCCCAAAGCTTTACTCCGCTCAACATAAAGGTGTTAAACACCAACCACAAGCAAGGGTTGGTCGTTGAACAAGGCACAAGGCCAATCAACCTGGCCTTTAAAGAAGGCACATCCTAGTGACTGGTGTGTAAAGCACTGGCAGATACCTTCCTTCCTCATTCCCAGCTACAGCTGGCCCTTGAACATGGGTTGGAACTGTACAGGTCCACTTACACATGGCTTTGGGGTTTTTCTGGTAAACTGCAGTACAGTACTGTAAATGTATTTTCTCTTCCTGATGATTTTCTTAATAACCTTTCCTTTTCTCTGGCTTACTTTATTGTAAGAATATATATGAAACATATAACATGCAAACAATGTGTTAACGAACTCTTCATGGTATCTGAAAGGCTTCTGGTCAACAGCTGGTCAAATATCAGTCCTGAAGGTTCTGGGGAGTCCAAAGTTGACTGCCTGGGAACTGACACCCTAACCCCCACATAGTTCAAGGGTTAACTGTATTCAAATCCCTAAGGTTCCATTAAAGCCTGCTTCCCTTAGGGCACTCATCCTGACTCCCAGCCTACAGGTCTCACTAATGTGTCTGAAGTCCCCTAGCAGTGGTCCCCTGAGTCACACACCTTGACCTAATCCATGGTTTTAGAGTGATTGTTTTTTGACCCACTCATGTGAGCACTCCTCAGTCATAAGATCCTTCAAAGCTGGGTCGAGGAGGGACAGTTCATTCTACCTCTCAAAGCACATAAGACAATGCTAGGCCGCCAAAAGGCTCTCAGTAAACACTCGGGAATCATTTTCTGTCCCGTGGCCTGTTTATCTATTTGTCCGTCTGGGTTCTATAACTAGCTCAGGAGAAGACTTCACAACACTGGGTATTAAGGAAACAATCAGACAACAACTCAAACAGAGCGTGCCTCAGAGTCTATCCACACCAAGGGGAAGCAAGGACGAGCTCATCCTGCAGCAGACAAAAGGCAGAGAGAGAGCACAGAGGCCTGTGGCCCTCTGCCCACCAGTAAGGCAGTTACATGTGCATGTCCAGGAGAGTGGCGCTCAGCAGCATCAAGAGGCCACGATCGCAGCGAAAGGATGCTCCCGGGCCACAGAGAAAACCTCTAATGGCAAAATATTCAACTCAGATTCTCTGTTAGTTCGGGGACTGGAGGGGATGCTCAAAAATCTTCCAAGGCCCAGCTGCTCTGAGTCCAAGCCCTGCCTCAGGAACCATGCACACTAGCTCATGGGAGAGAAACCAGGTTTCCTGACAGAATTTCATCAAAGCTGCGAGCCTGTCCATATGCGTTGGCTGAGGAGTACCGGCCCAGGTCTGTCACTAAAATATGATTCAGAATCTAAAATGTAAAGGCTTGGGCGGTTGGGTGGCTCTGGGGGTTAAGCCTCTGCCTTCAGCTCAGGTCATGAATCTCAGGGTCCTGGGATTGAGCCCCGCATCGGGCTCTCTGCTCGGCAGGGACCCTATTCCCCGTCTCTCTCTGGCTGCCTCTCTGCCTACTTGTGATCTCTCTCTCTCTCTCTCTCTCTGTCAAATAAATAAATAAGGGTACCTGGGTGGCTCAGTTGGTTCAGCAACTACCTTAGGCTCAGGTCATGATCCTAGAGTCCTAGGATCGAGTCCTGGGGCTCCCAGCTCTGTGGGGAGTCTGCTTCTCCCTCTGACCTTCTCCCCTCTCATGCTCTCTCTCACTCTCTCTCTCTCTCTCTCTCAAATAAATAAATAAAATCTTCTAAAAAAAAGTTTATTAAAAAATAAGTAAATAAAATATTTTTTAAAATAAACAAATGAATAAATAAATAAAATGTAAAGGCTTCACAACAGAGACCGTGTGCAATTCCATTCTACAGGGATTTGGTAGGACCCGGTGGGGGGGGCCTACGAGAATAGAGATACAGAAGGGCACACGGCCGTGCCTGCTCAAAGCTTGGCACACGTAAGAGTGTTACACGTGTACCTCCGCATCTGTTGTCTGTATGAACACCTGAGGGTAACAGTGTGGTCCCTCGGCCACCTGACAATGAGAAAAACCTACCGTGGCAACTGCTCGGCCCACCCTGACAGCACCGAAGTCATTAGGATCCAAGTACTTGTTACTGTAAAGGTAGAAGCCCGAGGCAGCCAGAGCCATGCCAGTCCATGAAGCAAGCTTGAGCGCCTTTCTGGCCATGTTCCCAGACCCTGCAGAAGGAAAGGAGACAACAAGGGACAGCTGAATCCCATAGTTAGTCAGACCAGGGTTAAAGCCTCTGCCTTCGGCTCGAGTCATGAGCCCAGGGCCCTGGGATCGAGCCCCACATCTGGCTCTCTGTTCAGCAGGGGAGCCTGCTTCCCCTCCTCTCTCTCTCTGCCTGCCTCTCTGCCTGTCAAATAAACAAATAAAATATTTTTTTAAAAAAGTTACTGGGATAAAATGAAATTGTGTATATAAAATGCTTAGCAGAGTACCGGGCACAAGTCAACTCTCCAAGTTATTACTCCTCGCACAGTACCAGATACCATTCGAGGCACGGGGGGAGAGGGAACAAAACAGAGTTCTTGCCCACGTGGTGCTTCTGCTCTAGATGGGACGACAGGTCCACAGCACACAGACATATTAGAACAGCAGCAGGTATGAAGTGCGGAGAAGAAAATGAAAGGGGGTAAGAGGAGGGATAACACGCATGCGACAAAGATGCTGTTTTAGATAGGGAATGTGGCAGAGCACGCTAACCCTCGTTACTTTTAACTATGACTTTACCACCGTGCACACACAGGTGTCATTTGCCTTCTGTGTCCAGGTCAGAAGTGCTCAATCCGCAGCCAAAACAGCAGCTGGTCAGAATCAGCCAGATAAGCTCTCCACGTCTGGCTGATTTCCAAAATATTTATTTCAGTTAGAGTAAACCGCCCCTTGTCTAGACCGTGAGCTCCCTGAAGGCACACGCCATGACTTATTCCGCTGACTCACAGTCATGCAGGGTACTCCGCGAGTAGGGATTCAACGTCCACCTGCTGATTTGGTCTGTTGAGCCAGAAGTACTCCCAGTCAGTGGGATCAAGCGGGCTCAGGGCTCTCTGATGGCCTTCCTCACCCTACTTGTACTAGCTCAGTCCACCAGGTGGACCGTTGGAGCTTCTGGGGGCCACTGTACCCAACAGGCTGTTTCCCCTTCAGTTTCTGGGAACTCTGTATCAGACTGAACTCCCTGACCACAGCTGCAGGCAGCAGGGAAGAAGTCCCATCCAGAAGTGAGCCACCAAACTAACCACACGTGCAAACCCTGTACAGAGGCAGAAGGAAGATTCAGGTCACCCCTGCTTGCTTCTGCTCTGGACGCAGCCTGTGACCATCCCCTCCCTGCTCTGTGCCTGTTTTCCCCTTGTGGGAAACTAATGCTACACACAGCCTTGTCTTCATTTTCTTCAAAATCTGTTTGAACTCATGCTCACACTATAGCCACGGATTTTTTCTTACGTATTCACAGGTACATCTTTTTTCCATTCTTCTACTTTCAACTTACATTTTATACTACTTCTCTCAACAACATATAGTTGATTTTCTTTTGCTTGCATTTAATATAACTTGTGAATGTAGATTTAATTTCACTATCTTCTTCCATCTCAAAAATGCAGATCTCTGGCACCACATTAACAAACGAAGGATAAAAATCACATAATCAGGGACGCCTGGGTGGCTTAGTGGGTTAAGCCCCTGCCTTCGGCTCAGGCCATGATCTCAGGGTCCTGGGATCAAGCCTCACATCTGGCTCTCTGCTCAGCAGGGAGCCTGCTGCCCCCCTCTCTCTGCCTGCCTCTCCCCCTATTTGTGATCTTGGTCTGTCAAAGAAATAAATAAAGTCTTTTTTTAAAAATCACATAATCATCTCAACAGATGTAGAAAAAGCATTTAACAAAATTCCACACCCATTTCCGATTAAAAACTCTCAACAGGGACGCCTGGGTGGCTCAGTTGGTTAAGCGGCTGCCTTCGGCTCAGGTCATGATCCCAAACTCCTGGGATCGAGTCCCACATCGGGCTGCTTGCTCAGCAGGGAACCTGCTTCTCGCTCTGCCTCTGCCTGCCACTCTATCTGCCTGTGCTCACTCTCATGCTCTCTCTCTCTCTGACAAAAAATAAATAAAATCTTTAAAAAAAAAAAAAAAAACTCTCAACAAAGTAGGGACAGGGGAATATACCTCAACATAATAAAGACTGTATGTGACAAGCCCACAGCTAACACCATACTCATTGGTGAAAGGCAGGGAGCTTTTCTAACATTAGGAACAGGACAAGTATTATTCAGCATAGTACTGGAAGCCCTAGCCAGAGCATGGTAAAAGAGGTAAAAGACAATCAAATTGGAAAGGAAGAAGTAAAACTATCACTATTTGCAGTGGATATTATATACAGAAAACCCTGAACAATCCACCAATAAACTGTTAGAATAAACCAATTCAACAAAGTTGTAGGATACAAAATCAGCATGCAAAAACCTGTTCTGTTTCTATACACTAATAGTGAATAAGCAGAAAGAGAAATTGAGAAAACAATCCTATTTATAATTACATTGAAAATAAAAAGCTAAGAATACATTTAACCAAGGAGATGAAAGACCTATACACTGAAAATTATGAGACATTAATGAAGAAATTAAAGACACCAATAAATAGAAAGATATTCTGTGTTCATGGATTGGAAGAATATTGTAAAATTTCCAAATTACCCAAAGCAGTCTACAAATTCAATGAAATCCCTATCAAAATCCCAATGGCATTTTTTCACAGAAATAGGACAAACTATCCTAAAATTTGTAGGGAACCACAAAAGACACAGAATAGTCAAAGAAATCTTGAGAAAGAACAAAGCTGCAAGTATCATGGTCTCTGATTATACTACATTACAAAACTGTAGTAATCAAAACTGTATGGCAGTGGTATAAAAATAGACACATAGATCAATGACTTCCAACAGAGAGTCCAGAAAAAAACTCATACACATATGGGCAATTAATTTACGACAAAAGAGCCAAGGACATACAAAGGGGAAAGGACTGTCTTTTCAGTAAATGGTGACAAACATTTATTGAAAAGATAAACAAAATCTTTTTTAAAAAAATTTATTTATTTGACAGACAGAGAGAGAGGGAATACAAGCAGGAAGAGTGGAAGAGGGAGAAGCAGGCTTCCCACTGAGCAGGGAGTCCAATGTGAAGCTCAGTCCCAGGATCCTGGGATCATGACCTGAGCTGAAGACAGATGTTTAACAACTGAGCCACCCAGGCGCCCCATAATGGGTGATTTTTATGCAAGCTAAAATTTGAGAACCTTCTTCTAAATATTTTTTTTTAAAGATTTTATTCATTTATTTGACAGACAAAGATCACAAGTAGGCAGAGAGGCAGGCAGGGAGAGAGGAGGAAGCAGGCTCCCCGCCGAGCAGAGAGCCCGATGCAGGGCTCAATCCCAGGACCCTGGGACCATGACCTGAGCCAAAGGCAGAAGCTTTAACCCACTGAGTCACCCAGGCGCCCCTAAATATTTTCTTTTTAATAAAGAGTCTGCATGTGTTCAAATCCATCAGTGAAACCATGCCCAAAAAACAAGCCTTCCAACTTGCTCATACCTACTCCCAACTCCAGGGGTCTGCAATCACCCTACAAGTGTGACTCCAAACAATTATTTTTAAAGAAATCATGTAAGAAACTCATTTGTTGCCCTAAACACAAATGCTCTAGCCCAGCTTCTGGGTTCAGTTCCTAACTCTGCAAGAAAAGGGTTTGTAAATAAAAAGAAATTAAAACCTTGCTTTGTGATACAAACGTAGTGATCCAAAGGGGCACGTGCACCTGAATGTTTATAGCAGCAATGTCTACAATAGCCAAACTATGGAAAGAACCTAGATGTCCATCGACAGACGAATGGATAAAGAAGATGTGGTATATATACACAATGGAATACTATGCAGCCATCAAAAGAAATGAAATCTTGCCATTTGTGACGACGTGGATGGAACTAGAGGGTATCATGCTTAGCGAAATAAGTCAATCGGAGAAAGACAACTATCATATGATCTCCCTGATATGAGGGAGAGGAGATGCAACATGGGGGGTTAAGGGGGTAGGAGAAGAGTAAATGAAGCAAGATGGGATTGGGAGGGAGATAAACCATAAGTGACTCTTAATCTCACAAAACAAACTGAGGCTTGCTGGGGGGAGGGGAGTTGGGAGAGGGGGGGTGGGGTTATTATGGACATTGGGGAGGGTATGTGCTATGGTGAGTGCTGTGAAGTGTGTAAACCTGGCGATTCACAGACCTGTACCCCTGGGGAAAAAAATATATGTTTATAAAAAATAAAATTTAAAAAAAAAAAACCTTGCTTTGCAGAATAGGCTTTATTTTCTTTATCATCTTTTTTTTTAATATTCTATTTATGAAAACCCTCTATCCCTGCATCATTCTGCCAGCTTTTTATTTTTTTTTCTGCTGACATTTTAATAAGCCAAGAGTTCCTTCCAAACAAGAACAGGCACTCCAGTAGGCCTGGGTTTGGGTCCCTACACTTACTTCCCAACTGGGTAAGCAGGCAAATTGCCAACTCTGACTCTTGTGACCCTGTCTATAAAATGGGGATGATGATAGCAGTGTCTACTAGATGTGGTAGTGAGGGACGAGGAAATCATGCAAAATGTATAGCCAGGGGCCACCTACACAGTACAAACACAGTACCAACTGTTATTACTACCACCACTCATCTCTTATTATTATAATTATTATTATTATTATTATGACTGTTATTATTTCCTTTCCCAATGCCATGCTTTGGTAAAGGACCTTATTTACTCCCTTGCCTGTCAGCTTCTGGAGGACTCCTGCAGGCCTCCCTTCTTACATCCTGGCAGGCCCCCACCTAACCTTACCTTTTCACCTTGCTCTCTAGTGTTTTCTATCAAAAAGGGCAGCATGTTGAGTTCACCCTCTACCTTGTCCCGCCAAGACACGGGTTCCCAACTGGACCTGGAGGCAGGCCTTACATTGGGCTGCATGCCCTCAGCTCCGTATACATCTTCCTTCTTCAAGATTCTCAGGGCAAGAAGGTCCATGAGAGGTGATCCAGGGACCGTCCCTATGGGGCCATCAGAGAAGCCCACATTAAAAAGGTCACATGGAACCACTGGTGGCCAGGAACTCTGGAGTCAGGAAGAATCCTGCTCTACCACTCACCAGCTGTGTGACCTTGAGCAAGTCACAGCCTCTTGGGGCCTCCCACGCAATTACCTACAAAAGGAAGTCCCTGACAGTACTTCCATCCTAGGGTTACTATGAGCATTAAATGAGATGCTGCTTTAACATAATGCCAAACATATTCTGCAAATAAGACTTCTTTTCCTTACTGTTATTTTAAACTTTGTTTCTTCTTCCCAGAAGCACTGATGTAGAAACAGCTAATGGAGAACTCTTAGCACCTGGGAGACCAGGATTTGGCACAACCTCGTACAATTAATAAACTGAGGGAGGAATGCCACCCTATCTTGCCTAAACAGCATAACCATTCCCCACTCCAAAAGCATTTCCCTACATCCCCTCTGACTTTTACTCTCCACCCAGGTCATCATTACCCCAACCTTCCTGTGCACCTATATTACCCCACATCCCCTCCACTGATGAAAACGTCCAAATTCTCTAGCAAGGCATTCAAGACCCACCCAAACTTGCTAGCTCCATCTCCCAAACACCTCTCCACTCTCAACCACACCCACCCCCACCCCAGCCCTCTCTGAAGCCTTCTGTAAGCCAACCACTTAGAATGAGTTGTTCGTTCCTATCTGGTCTTATTATGCGCTGCTTTTTTCTCTAAGGATCTGGTCCTGTATCTGCCTGTTCTATTACATGCAAAGGGCAGAATTTGTTAACATATCATATAATTAATTAATAAGTCTGCTAACAAATACATGATTGAATGAGTAAAAGAGTACACTTATCCCCCGTCTATTCTCAACGTGGAAACTTCAGCCCAATTATGTATTCCCCTCGTCTCAACTCTCTAATGCCTCCCATCTCACTCAGATGAAGAACCCAGGCAATTATAGGCAATGGCCTACAAAGGGCAGCCCCAGACAATATATAAAGTGATGAGTATGGCCAGAAGTGGTCCAGTGGCTAGAGTTTGCCAAACCTGCCTTAGCACAGTAGGTGCCCCAAAAGTATTTGCTGAATGAATCAAGGGAGAAATGGTACCCCATGAGGCTGCACTGAGCCAGTGCCAACACAGGTCCCCAGGTGAGAATCATCCCAGGGCTGTCAGTTGGATGCCATCCTCCCCCAGCTACCCCCAGCACCACCTCCCAGCTCTTGCCTCTTTTAAACCCCATCTGCCTCATGCTCCATCCTCCAGGCCAGTCCCAGTGGGCAGTGAGGCCACCCCTAGCCTTGAGATCACCCACCCTGGGAGGGGAAGCCTCAGACAAACAGACACTATTCCCAAGACCCGGTTTTCATGCAAATGTCCTCAGTAATAAAAGAGGTGCAAATTGAAAAACATAAAATAGATGATATAGGAGCCAAAGTATGTCTAAATAGATTGGAGCTGGAGTTTTCCATAAGGTGTCAGTGAGTCTTTAACATGCAAATGAGTCGCTTCCCTCCGGGTATTTTAAAAGACCCTGTCAGCCGTGAAATATGTCTGTCGGTGAAAAACACCTTTCATTATTAAACCCTTTGCTAATGAATTGCCTTCCCTGTTCTGTTTACTTGTCTGACTTTCACCTGAGTTGTCTCTCCCAGGAGCACAGACTTTGGGGGAGGGGAAGGGAGCTTGAGGACACCAAGACCCTAATACCTCCACATCAGATAACAATATTAGCAAAAACCAACCTTTACAAAGCCCTTTGCTCTCATTTATCTCCTTAGATACTGAACACAACCCAGGAAGATGAAACAAATATTATTATCATCCGCAGGCATAAATAAGGAAAGGAAGGAGCACAGGGGTGAGATTTTTCCCAGGTGACTCAGTAGTAAACAGCAGCATTAAAGCTTGAGCCTGTCTATGGCACATGACCTCCTTCATGGACTTGCAACAACGCTCTGTTCACCAGTGTCCTTACCACGGTTCACAGGTAACCGTGTCAATCACTGTGGGCAGCAACTTCGATTTCTGACCCTCTCTCTACCAGGCCCAAACAATGGCAGCATATAGAAGACATGGAAACCAACACAGCAGACTGTCAACCAAAGCACCGCACCAGAAACAACCCATTCCAGTCCAGGAACCTTAGGAGAGCTGTGTTACCGTCAACTCTATGAGAAGAATGGAATCCATCTTGCTGGGCCATAAGGGAACACCCCAGCAGGTGATAAACCAAGGCAAAAGGGAAGTGCGGAAAGATCTACACATGGGAAGCTGATGGTCGAATGTAATGTCCAACCCCTGGACACAACTAAATGGGGAACCAAGCACTTGCTGTTTGTGGTGGGTCAAGAGTGGCTAGGCCTATCAGTTACCACCCACCCGCAGCCCCCTCCCCATGCCACATCCCAGGACAAGAAGCAGGGAATCACCCTTCCCTGCTTGGTGCACAAGTGAGAATGACCAGAAAAAAAGCACTTTGGTTCTAATTGCATCAATCCCATAAGTGACTACAGCCTCCTCCCACCTCCTAAAGAGGCTATTAGAGGAATTGAGCATTGTTTCTTCTGTCTGTTCCCAAGACTGGAAAAGACCCAATGAGAGGATCAGGTAAAGCAAACAAGGTAGAGGGTACCATCATGTCTTAAGTCTGGAAAGAGGCAGAGTCAAAGCCCAGGGACCACAGCGTTGGCCTGATTCAGGTTTCTAACCTGCCCTACCACCAATAATGAGGTCCAAATGTAATGATACTCCCTTCCCTAGGGTTTGACGTCCAGAAGGTGATTGAATCAATATTGATTAAATAAAGGAATCTCTAGGCACCTGGGTGGCTCCGTGGGTTAAGCCTCTTAACCTCTGCCCCACATCAGGCTCTCTGCTCAGTGGCGCGCCTACTTCCCCTGCCCCACCCCTGCCTGCCTCCCTGCCTACTTGTGATGTCTGTCTGTCAAATAAATAAAATCTTTCAAAAACAAATAAATAAAATAAAGGAATCCCTGGCTGAGACCAAGATCCCAGAGCAGACAGGGAAAATAAATCTCACCCAGGCAAGGAATAGAAATTCTCCATTTGGTTCATCCTGGGAAAGTGGGGAATCAGGGAGAACAGTGGCAAGCCAACCATAGAGAGCATGTGGCAGGTAAGAAATGGGTCACTGGAATGCCTCTGATACAAGAATCTAAACCCAGGAGATTTGGTGAGTGAGCTGGGGGCCAGGGGGCTGAGCAGGGAGTCGGGGGATGGATGCCAGAAGCAAGCACTATTCTTATCTTTAGGTCCCCTTTCTGACAAGAAAATGTATATATCAAGAAGGAACAAAATGCAAGCTCTCCCAGCAGAGGTCAAATCTTACATGTGAGCGCCAAGCCAATAATGACACAATAGAACATGATGTAACCCAGGAAAAATGACACAAGCGTAGACTTCGTGAAAATCTGTATATGCAATAACGTAGGAGCAAATTAACAGTGTGCACGGTCATATGCACATGTTTACCCTAACTACAGAAAGGTAAACTGGCAAACAAGGACACAAAGGCCCATAACCTGATGTGAAGAAAAAGTTGGTGCTTAAGTTCACAGGACTTTTTTCCTACAAAGCAGAAGTACTCAAGAGCATGTCCCACGCAGCTTCTCTATCTACTAGGAGCATGCTAGAAATGCAAATTCTTGCTCCCCACTCTTAAGCTGGTGAGTCAGAAACTTTGGGGACGGGGTCCAGCATTCCGTGTGGTTTAACAAGCCCTCCAGGGTATTCTGATGCAGTCTGAGAACCTGTGAGATAAGAAAATGCTTAAAGAAAAATTATGAAGGCACAGAGAAGTCAAATTCACTTTCAACTCCTCAAATATCTCTTGAGCATCCACTAAGTGCCAATTATCATGGACGGGACCAATAAATACTTGTTGAATTGGTTGACTTCCTACCTAGTAGGAAGTAAACGCCACTTAACCTGGGGACAGAGCTGTGCTAGGAGTCTCCCAGAGGCTGCTCTCCATACACAGCACGTTTATAAGGCGAACTGAAGTTCAGGGCACCGCAAGGTGCGGAAGATCCGGAGCGCTCTGGAGCACGCCGGGAGTCCAGGCGGAGCTCAGGGGTTTCGGCGGCACCCCCAGCTCTCGTCCAGATCACGTCCAGACCACGTCCAGCCCCCGCGCCGCCGGCGCCTCGGAGCCCGTAGACCGCCTAGGGAAAGCCGCCTGGGTAAGCCACCTGATACCCCCTCATGCAGCCCCAGCCCTGCCTACGTGCCAGAGCGTGCCACCCTAGTAGCCAGTCCCCGCTTCCGCCCACTGGTGAGCGGGGCTGGAGAGTCCCCGCAGAGGACCGCCCCTGCCGGTCACGTGGCCAAGCACCGGCCCCGGTGACAAGGTCGCAGGCCGGGGATTCCCTCCCCACGGCCCCAGCAGAGGCAAGCTTTGGGCGCGTCTACACCGCCTCCCCCGCGCTCCACGCGCGGTGCAGCCACGGTGCGCCTGCCCTACTCACCCCCAGGGACGCGGGGACGTGGCGCCAGGTTCCACGCCGCACGCGGGTGACGGGGTTCGCAGGGACTTTGCTCTCCACCACCCTCTGATTGCGCCTAATGAAGCGGAGGCGCCGCGCGGCCTGCCGGGACTTGTAGTTCGTGGTTCCCTAAATCGCGGGCCAGGAGCCCGCACTTTCCCTGGCTTCTCCACGGAAGAGTCGGAGGAGTCAAGACACCTTACCTGGGCACCTGGGTGGCTCAGTGGGTTAAGCCTCTGCCTTCCGCTCAGGTCATGATCTCAGGATGCTGGGATCGAGCCCCTTATCGGGCTCTCTACTCAGCAGGGAGCCTGCTTCTTCCACTCTCTCTGCCTGCCTCTCTGTCTACTTGTGATCTCTGTCAAATAAATAAATAAATATTAAAAAAAAAAAAAAAGACACCTTACCTATCAGATGGCCTTGTTTCAAGCCCAGCTGCGGACCCATAGTCTTCCTGAAAACTTGTGTTCAACAGTCTTAACGAAGGAGGCATATATTCGTGTTTCATTGAAGGATAGAGATGTGGGTTTGTGGACTTTTTAATTTTATTTATTTATTTGACAGGGAGAGAGAGAAATCACAGGTAGGCAGAGCAGCAGGCAAAGAGAGAGGGGAAAGCAGGCTCCCCGCCAAGCAGAGAGCCCGACTCGGGGCCTGATTCCAGGACCCTGAGATCATGACCTGAGCTGAAAGCAGAGGCTAAACCCACTGAGCCACCCAGGCGCCCCAGGGTTTCTGTATTTTAAATGTTTTAGAACAAGTAGGAAAGGAAGACATTTACTGACAGTTGCTCAATAGTGAGAATGTGCTGATTAATCTTCGTTATCTTTGGCCCCCATTCGTTCATTCATTGATTTGTTTTGCATGTTTATAAGATGTAAGTTGGAAACATTCATCAGACGTTCATTCATTTCACAAATATGTCTTGAGCTACTTCCTGGGGGAGCAGAGTTGGGGCGGGGGTGGGGCAGAATTCATCTATCCATGCAATACAATTTCAGTCAAAGTTCCAACAGGATTTTTTCTGGACTATCACAGGCTAATCTAAAATTTATATGCAAAAACAAAGGGTAAAGCATTGCCACTCCTGAAGGAGAGTAATATGTTCCAAAGACTTGGCCTTTTGTAAATCAATTTTATTATAATGATGTAAAAATTAAGGCCATTTGGTATTAATTAGTATAAAGATAACCAAAGTGGGGGAAAGAAATCAGCTTAGAGAAATGGAATATGTGGAATCTTGCTATATGACAAATCCCAGATATATGACCTATATTGCCAGATTATAGGTCAATGGGGAAAGACACATCATTCAGTATATGAGCTGGAACAATTAGTTATCTGTTGGATCCCTCATTCACCCCACAGGTAGACTTGCAAGGGGAAAAACAAAATCAGAAATTTTAAAAGAAAGTAGAGGAAAACATCTTGTGATCTCAGGGTAGGGTTTATTAAATGACACAAGCACAAACTATATACAAACCTTTGATAAATTTGGGCTGCATTAAATTCAATAACTTTTCTTCATTGAAAGGCATGAAAAGACAAACCACAGACTAAGACAACCGATGCACAGAGACAGCATAGTGTAGAAGTGCCTAACACAGTCCCTGCTGTCTCAAGTTTGTGGTGTATACGTGCTGCGATAGGAACATAAATAATTTTCAAGCAGTGTAAGAAGTGTGAGCTGAAGGTATGAACAAAGTGGTTTAGGAACACAAAGAAGGAAACATTAATTTTGCCCAGGAGAGTCTGAAATGCTCCATAAACTAAGAACTGACTTGGATGCTGGGAATTAAAGGTTAAATAGGGGCTCCCTGGAGAAGGTTGTTTGCATCAAAAAAAATCATATAAAAAAAGCATAAAGATGCAGTAAAATACAGTAAAACAGATAAGGGATATTTAAGTTAAAATGGGAAGTTTAAAACCAGAGAGAAGACAGAATAAATGTATTAAATACTTAACATGGTTACTCTAACTGCACCCAAAGTTTAACCATGAAAATGTTACTAGCAGGCTAGCTGTTACCCTGAGGAATGGAAATGGGGGAGGGAGTTGGAGAACTTTCAGTTTACTCCCTGTGCCCTTTTATAATTGAATTTTTTTACAATGAATATGTGTATAACTTTTACAATTAAAATTTAATTACTTAAACATTTTTTAAATTTTTTAATTTGTAAGCCTTCAAGTTCAATATAGCATGCTGAGTACACTCATTTAAGTCCACTCCTTCCTAAAATCCCATGAAAATGAAAGGAATTTAAAAAAAAAAAAACACCGAAAGGGAACAAATGAAGAGACAACAACAGATAGGAAAAATTAAAAAATAAATGTGGGAAGCTCCACGGGCAAATGAGGCACTTACAGAAAAGCCCCGGAAGTTCTTATTTTAGAGTCTAGTCTGGGATCTGGACCTCCATAATCCTTAGAAAGCTCCCTCAGTGATTTTAATGGGCAGCTTAGTGGAAAAGCTCTCTTTTGGACAGAGAGGCAGTTCATGTAGTGAAAGAGTGGAAAAGGAGGCAGTTCATGTAGTGAAAAGCTGGTGAATTGAGAACAGTGGTTCTCAGGCAGGTTAGAACCACCTGGAGAGCTTTAACCCTCCAGGGGGCGCACAGTCGGTTAAGTACCCGACTTTGGCTCAGGTCCTGATCTCAGGGTCCTGGGGTGGAGCCCTGTGTTGGGCTCCTGGCTCAGAGAGGGAGTCTGCTTGTTCCTCAGCCTCTCTCCCCATGCGCACGCAAAGACACATGCATGCTCGCTCTCTCATTCTTTTTCAAATAGATGAATAAAATCTTTAAAACATTGACAACAACAATCCTCCTGGGCCACACCCTGGCCCTTTTAAGTCATTTCTGGGGGCAGGACCCAGGTGTGATGATTTTGTAGAGCTCCCCAGAGGGTTTCAATGTCAGTGCAAGGTTAGACACCCCTGATTTGAGTTAGAGAGTCTTGTTTCAACTGTGTGACTTAAAGTAAGTTGTATGCAATGGATGAATCACTAAATTCTACCCTTGAAACTAATAATACAGTAAATGTTAATAAAGATTAATTTTTAAAAGCAAATTTGCTAATTTGGCAAAGCCTGAACTTCCTTCTTGATTTACCAATAATAAAATGGTAGTTTCCTTCGTGATAAAAGGTATTAACTATTATCAGTCCTACCTATCTCAGAGCTTGTTGTGAGGGTCAGGTGAGACAGGGTGTGTTCTTTGGAAACTGGATATTGCTCGAAGACATGTCCCATCACACTTAGAAGAAAATCTAAACTCTTTACCCAACTCACGCAGCTCCCGCAGACCTGTTCCTACTCCCTCTGTCTCAACCCTCATTTTCCACCTTCCCTCCCCCAGCTCAGGCCACTCCAGCCCAACCAGCTTCCTGTCTGTTCTTCCACCTGCCAAACTGGCTGCTGCTAGTGCTCCTCTAATTTCAAAGGTCTGCTCCATCCCAGCAATCTGTTCTCTATTCCAATGTGACCCCTCCAGAGAGGCCATCCCCGACTACTCTCATGTAACCACCACCATCCACCACATTCCCTGAGGCACACTCTATCCTCTTACACTGCTTTATTGTTATAACACTCATCAGTACTTGAAATTATATTATTCATTTGTTTAGATGTCTTTTATCTGTCTCCTCCACTATAAGCTTCATTAAAGCTGGGATTTAGATCCTTAGTGCCTAGAAGGGAGACAGACAACAGACCAAAGAAACAACAGGATAGTTGTATAATGTAATAAACCCTATAAAGGAAAAAAGCAGGGAGTGTGTGAAAAAGACTAACTAGAGGCCCAAGATAGTGTTTGGATAGAGAAGTCAGGCAAGTTGTCTTTGAGGAAACTGCAACCTGATGGATGAACAAGTCAGCCATGGGGAAGCTGAGGAATTATATTCCAAGCAAAGGGAACAATAAGTGCAAAGGCCCAGGGGTAGGAAAGAGCCCGGCATGCCTGAGGAACAGAGAGGAGCCCAGTGTAACTGAGGCAGAGAGAATGGTGTGGGAGGAGGTAGGAGAGGCAGGTAGGGGCCAGGTCACACAGGGCCTCAAAGCACTCACTGGTTTGGATTTTAGTCCAACTGCACTTGGAAGCCATTGAAGGGTTATGTTGTGATGGGATATAACCAAAGAAGCTAAATAGAAAATGCACTGAGCAACCAAAACCACAGAGGGAAGCAGCTAACTTATCTCAGAACCTGCCAAAGTCCCAGTTGAGTTTCTGAGGCAGAAACTGGGAGGGGAGTTGGTAAACTGCGTATTCAGAATACTGTCCAAGAGAGGTGTTCATGCAGGATGCTGTGTGTCTTGTCCCCAAAGTGAACCATCCAGGAGGAGGCATCAGACAGCAGCCAACCAGAGGAAAAGCAAGAGAATCCAACGTGCAAGTTTCTTGACTATGGCAATGAGAAAAGATTACTGCAGAAGAAGTAATAAGGGAACTGTGTTCTTTATAGAAGGGAAGAGCCTTAAGGCCTATAGTAGAGGAAGCAGGAAAGCTGTATTTGGTTTGCAGCAGTATTCCATAGGCAAGCAATGCCCTGCTGGAGTCACAGCCACAGAAGGAAGCATGAGCTGGAGAGCCAGAGCTTGTGTTAGCACCTGCCCAGGACAGTGCTGACACACAGCCAGGACCAGAGAAGGTCAGGGTCCAGCTTCCCCAGAGGGCAGCTGAGCATTGCCCAGAGGATCTCCAGACCAATCCATACGCCATATGCATTTGTATGCGAGGGTCTAAGAGCAGAGGCTAAGGTTGAAGAGAGAGCAGGGTCTGCTGGCTGTGAACACTTCTGGGTATCAATGACCACAAGATGGAAGCCTGCTCAGCCTGCCCCAGGGGATGTTCATACTGGCCTGGGCTTGATGGAAATCTAAAGAAATTTTTTTTTAACACCTGGAAGGAAGGAAATCAAGATGAGTTATTTGGAATTCATTTCCAACCCAGGGGCTAGAGTGACATGGAGAGCAGGAATTTCTTAATCTGTCTCTGACTAGCTGAGGGATCCCACAAAAAGCATATTACACAGTTCGGTTTTCCTCTTTTTTTCCCAGCTTTATTGAGTTATAATTGTCATA